CATATTGGCAACCGGCCAAACTAGAATGGCTGCTCTGGTCGCTTGTGCTGACTCTATTCAATTGGGACGGTAAAAACACCACGTCCTCGTTCGCGTTGGGTGAGAGATGAACATGGCTAAGGGCGGGGTAAAGGTATGTCTCGTTAGAAGACCCTTGCAGGCATCACGTGTTCATCTGCACATTGTAGCTGATAGCACTCAATGGCCATCCTCTGTTGGTTCACATCCAGCCTGCAGCCTCGCGGCTCGGTGTCGTCTTGCCACCTCAAGCAAACAAGTCATTCCTCACCTTGCCAAACTTCCCCGCTTCTGTGCGACAGGGTCCACGCAACACCAGTCTTTCCTAATGGATCCTTTGTCGATTTCAGCAGGCATCATTGCGATAACGACCGTAGCGGCGCAAGTTGCCAACCTCCTCGCTGGGATTCGGGAAGACTGGGATTCTTTACCCGGCCGCATGCATGCGCTGAGCAACGAAATCCAAGACTTCAATGTTGTGTTACAGCAAGTTGCCATCGCTGTCAAGGAGAGAAGGGTCTCCGGGCAGGATGCCTACGGTGAATCGACGCTGCTGCCCCTCTTGATTAGGGGGAACAATGTCTTGGTAGACCTGAAAGCAATCCTCGAGCGTCTTCTAGCAACCGGAACGAAGAAGAAAGAGGCTATTTCTCGTGTACTAATGTGGAGGAGAGAGCAAGGCACCGTGTCCTCGCTTCAGGAGCAGATCAAGCAAGTAAAATCAAGTCTGAATGTCCTCCTGGGCGCGTCAAATTCGTGAGTCGGCTCTTGAAACGTATCGAACCCATATCTAAGGGATCATGTGGCTGACTTTCACCAGACAAGATATGATGCACGTCCGTCTCTGTTTAGAAGAGCTCAGCTTGAAAATATCGCACTCGAAGGACTCAGTTTACCCCGAGAAGGAAGCGCAAGACGATTTCATACAAGCTCTGCTTAATGAACATCACGGCACAATGAAGGAGTCGTTAAACAGGTCATACTCCCAAGTCGATGAGCGTTTAAATAAGCTTGAGGCACTTCTTCAAGCCCAGGCAACAGACATACATACCTCACAAGTCACTCAGGTCGGCCGACTTTACAATGCATCGACGCCGCCTGCGAGGAGACGTGTCGTCCGAGCCGTCAGCCCAGCTTCGGCTGCGCGAATCCAAAAAAAGTCTGCGTCTGTCGGAGTTCGTCTTCGCCAGAATCGTACAACGTGTCAGTCGGCCTGTCTTTGCTCTTGCCACTCCTCAAAGCTCAGAAAGTCCCCGTCATTCATGGACCGTATGGTTGGCCAGCTGATGCTAGGTTACAGCGGGCTGCCTTTGCTGAGCACCGAATGCGATTCAGCAGCGTGTATTAAGGGGCAGACACCGGCGGTCAATGTTGAATATTGGTTTCCATTGGGGGTGTGCTGGTCTCAAATTATTCGTCTACATCTATCGTACGAAGCGAACGTTGGCCCTTCCCTTCAACTGAGCACCTTGCGACGCGTACCGGATTCATCGCAATGTGTGAGCTATGCGCTTGATGGAAATATACAAGGCTTGAAGAGTTTGTTTGGTCAGGGACTAGCATCGCCTCGTGATGTTAGCTCAACGCGAGGATACTCTCTTCTCCGAGTAAGTGAAGCAGGCTCTTTGTCGATTCAGGGCATGTTGCTAACAGTATTTAGTGGGCGCTGTATGGCCAACAGTATGAGACATGCAAGTTTCTGATGTCTGCAGGGGCAGATCCAACCTATAAGTATGCCAACAACTCGACGATTTCTCGCAATACCTTGTGATGTACTAAACATGTTGACTTACAGGCCGATTGCACCAAGTGATGATTGCCCAAGCGACAAGGCAGGAGACATAATACTCCGGGCCAACATCTCACAGGAAGTCATTGAGATTCTTCGGCTCATTGCGGAGGGTAGTGATTTCAATGAACGCCAAAACTTTGCTCGTATTCATAAGATTGTCCTAGGCCTTTGTATCGGTGATTTAGAAGAGGAAATACGGCAGGACCCAAAGTCATTAGACTTTCCAGACGGCACAGGACGGACAGCACTGCAGTGGGCAGCAGCGAGAGGCGACGAGCGAGCCGTGGTGACACTCCTCAGCTGGGGTGCTGATCCCAATAACATGGACAAGAAACTCAATACGCCACTCACTCTCGCTGCTAATCAGAACCAGTCAGTGTGTGTTCGACTTCTTCTGGAGGCCGGAGCACTACCGGATCCCGAACTGCCACCGCCGGTCAAATTCGGCACACCGCTCAATTGCGCCGCACGTAACGCGCCGGACCCGGTCCTAATGAAGACTTTACTGGATTTTAACGCAAAAATTGAAGCGAGCGGTGTGGATGGCGTCACACCACTCCTGCATGTTGCGAGGGGAAACAGCGCCGCTCATGCAATGCTTCTCCTGGAATACGGAGCCGACATCAACGCGACTTCGAAAGCTGGCCAAACACCCCTAACTGCAGCAATTCAATACAACAACCATAGCGTTCTGAAACTCCTTCTCGAGAGATGGTTCGACTACAACGAGTGCCCAAGACTGAAGGGACCCAACCTCTTGGAGACAGTCGCTAGATATGCCGACGTCGAAACAATACTTCTCTTAACGGCAGCCGAGCATCTTCGAAGCTATCCTGACAAAACGTATATTCTGGATCACTATAAGGAAGTCATTGATGGGCGTAATGACTCGTCAGATGAGCTGAGCGTAGCCTTTGATGAGTTGCTATCGGTGCTGAAGATGGAAGCCAAAGCCCATGGAAGCATTGATGAGCTCATGGAGTCGGGCCTGCTGAATCCTTTGGATTATGGAATCGAGTCTGAAGAGGACAGCTCATCAGATCTTCTGGTTTTTGAGGATGCCAAAGAGATGTTGGACATTTCGAGCAACTCGTCAAGCCCCATTCGCACTTCATGCCCGGCGCACGATCTTGAGGAAAGTTTGGAAGAAAAGACGGGAGGGAACTGTTGATATCCCAAAATTGGCGGCCGCTTTCAAGGTTGCACTGCCGTTGTATTATAGCTCGTTCGGTATGTTCGAACTGTACTATAGGCTTTTCCGAAAATCGAGCGAGCTTTACTACCTCACTATCACATTCATCAAAAGAACTTCTTTCCTATTCTTATGCCATTCCCAATTCTTCCAGACTCGAGATGGCAATTCTAGAGACTTTTATATAGCAAACAACTGATAGTAAACACGACTTCCCCTCCCCTCAGGATTCTCCTCACGCAACAGCCTCATCGAAGCTCTTCCCCACCAACTTGACAAACACATCCTTATACTTCTCCGCCGTAGCCTTGCACACATCCTCGGGCAGCGCAACGCCCTCCTTCCCCTTAAGCCCCTGCTCAATCAACCAGTTGCGAATAAACTGCTTATCGAAGCTCTCCTGGTCGCGGCCGACAGCGTACCCGGCAGCAGGCCAGTACCGACTGCTGTCGGGCGTGAGCACCTCGTCCACGAGCACGACCTCGTCCGTGTCCGGGTCGACGCCGAACTCGAACTTGGTGTCGGCGAGAATGATGCCGCGCTCGGCGGCGTAGTCGCGCGCCGCGGCGTAGAGCTGGAGGGCGAGCTCCTCGACGCGGTTGGCGTACTTGGCTCCGACGAGCTTGACGGCCTCGTCCGGGTGGATGTTCTCGTCGTGCTCGCCCTGTTCTGCCTTTGTGGAGGGGGTGTAGAGGGGCGTGGCGAAGGCTTGGGATTGTTGCATGCCGGCGGGGACGGGGATGCCGTGGACGGTGCCCTTTGACTTGTATTCATTCCAGGCGGAGCCGGTGAGGTAGCCGCGGACTTGTTGGGGTTACGGTCAGTATTTACAACCACGAGAAGATTTAGTATGAGAAGCATGGGGTTGAGACATACCGATGGCCTCGAGGGGAATGACCTTGAGGCGGCGGACCTGCATGGCGCGGTTCTTGATGAGAGCGGCGTCGGCGGCGGGCAGGCCGGCCGGGGGGTCGAGGGTGATGAAGTGGGTCTTGAGGCCCGGGACTCGGTCGGTGAGAACCTTGAACCAGTGGGCCTATGTGCCGTTGAGCAGTCGTATTAGTAAAGATGACTTCTCACATGATCTAAGATTCGAGGATATAGAATGAGAAGGGGTTGTGAAGAGTGAGAGGATTTGAGTGAGTGAGTGGGCGAGTGAGTGAGTGGTGCGGAATGGGAGAATGAGCCTTACAGAGGCGTGGGTGAGAATGGCGCCCTTGTCAGGGATGCCGTTCTTCATGACGACATCAAAAGCCGAGACGCGGTCGGAGGCGACGAAGAGGAGCGTCTTGTCGTCGACCTCGAAGACATCGCGAACCTTGCCCTGGCCGATCTTCTTGAGGCCGGTGAGGTCGACGGATGTGACGCTAGCAGTCGCCATTGTGTGAGAGCCGTGTGAATGAGGTGAGTGAATGTGGGGTGGAGGGGTTGAAATTGTCGGCTTTGGAGGGGTTCAATGGAGGGGCAGTCGAGTTGTTATAGCGCGACAAGGGACGGAGAGGTCAACCAAAGTCGGGAGATGTGAGCAACGTGAGGTAGAGCCTTGCAGACAGTAATCTGGCGCACCTTGGTGAATAGAAGACGGAGGATGAGTCAGGTTTTCGAAGCCGAGTTCGGGATGAGGTTGGGAGACGTTCAAAAGGTTGACCGTCCGTTCGGCACGGGTGACGAAAAACCGGCGTGAAAAAAATTTCCCCTTCGGGTGCAACCGCTCCACCGGTTCCCCCCCTCCATTGATGGGTTCGAACTTTAAGCAGTGACATTCCGCAGTTTGAGACGACGGTCTGAATTGCGATTGACTGAATACATCAGGTCAATTATTGATTCAATTGAGATACTTCTCTCTCTCTCAAACAATCTACAGACCGAATGAAGATGCAGTGAATGCCATATAGGCCACGCTTTGGAGGCATGCCAGACGCGAGGAAGAGCGTCTGTACCTTGACGTCAAATTACATTATCATTTAGAATGTATGAGTAAGTATATGCATATGAGAATTAACCCGCCATCAGCGCCGCACCAACGACAGCAAAGACAGACATGAGCACCATTACCAAAAAGCCGTCCGTTTCCGAGGCCACCAGCCCAGGATGTGACGCGGCATTCGGTGACTCGCTCGAAGACGGCGTCGAAGCGCCTGCCGACGCTACCGACGTATCCATCCCAGCAGCCGCCGTCCTCGTCATCGTCCCCGTCCCGGCCCTCGTCGACGTCGGCGCCGGCGTACTAGCTTGGCTCGCCACACCCGTGGCCGTCGGCAAGGTAGTCTCGCCCGCCCGGAGCTCAATCACATTGGTCCGGGTCGCGTTGAGGTTCGACTGGGCGATGCCGACCTGGTGGTTCGCCTCATCGTAGACGACATACGCGCTGCGTAGGAACGTGTCGCCCAGCAGCGCAAACTCTGTGCTGTTGACGTCGAACGTGGCGCTGTTTTGTATGCCAAACATGCAGGGCTTGTCGAAGGGGGTGAGGCCCTTGAGCTGGTCCATGATGGGGTCAAGGTTATCCAGGACCATCTCCTCCATCGGGACGCGAATCTTGACGCCGGCGAAAGCAAAGTCGAAAAAGATTCCCTCGCCTTGGGGGCCTCGCCACTTGCAATCGATAAAGCCGTACCCGGCGTCGACGACGTCGTATTTGACCCAGATGGCTTTTGCCATTTGCTCTGGGAGAAGACATATCGTCGACCCAGAGTCGAGGACGGTCGCGGCGTTGAAGCTGTCCCCGGCCATGTTGACCGTCTTGCCGTCTGGTGTTTCGATTTCGACGCCGGTCATGGATATGCTGTAGCTTGTCATGTTACCCGAATGGTGGTCGTTGACGAGCGGGAGCGTGGTGAGCGAGCCGATGTATTTCTCCGTGTCAATGCCGCCGAACAGTAATGTTCCCTCAGACGACGAAAGATCATTCTACCCGTCACTGTCAGTGGACATGCTGGAGGATTGAAAACTGTAGAGCGCCTCCCTTACCAGCCATATACTGAAGGCTTTCCTGCCTATGACACCTTGCGTAACCATGTTGTCGAGAATGGTAGGATACTTGCGCTTCGTCGCCACAGTCTGTGAGAACCCCAGACCAATCAACCCCGTGCCCTTGACCGTCTGAATCGCCAGACCAAGCTGCTGGTCCTTGACTGTCTTCCCATTGATGCTGACGACATCCGAGATGTAGTCTCCCTTGATGTTCTTGCCGTCAAGGTACGTGATATCAAACCCGTTCTGACCGACGACCTTGTACGTCGAGCTCGCCGTCGAGTTGTATGTCTCGGTACACCCCGTCTCGTACTGGCGCTGCAGCTTCGTGCTCGTGCAGAGGTCGGCCTGCTTGTCGACGATCCACGTGTCGCTGCTGCCCGTGTCGACGTGCAGCAGCGCCTTCTGTCCCGGGGTGCCGATCTCGACTTCTGAGTAGTACCCGCCGCCCGTGATGTTGTTGAGCGCCGCGAGGGTGAGGGTGTCGCGGCGGGTGATTTGAACCAGGTCTACGGGGAGCTGGATCTTGTGGAAGTTGGCTGAGATGACCTTTTGCGAGACGGCTTCCGACGCCAGGGCCGCGAGGGCCAAGGTCGTCGTGGATAGCTTCATCCCTGTGGACTGGGGAAGGGGGGGCCCAAAGCTTCGACTCCCTCGAGAAACGGATGCCCGTGGTTGGAGATCGAGTCCCTGTTGTTTACGTCTGCTCCACCCCCGCAGACTGCTTCTTATGCGGAGAAGCTTATCCTGGCAGACGTCTGGACGGGTATTCGAGAAACCGGGGACATGAGCCGGTAAGCAACACAAGGCTGTTGAGACTACAGGAAAAAGAAGAAAGCAGAGTATCGCCGGCCGGAGCTGTCAGATGCCAAACGGCGACGGGATCGCACGTCCTTTTCTGTCAATGGGACAACAGCGGGAGGTCTCCTCTAGTACAGCCGCAAAAATGGGGAAGAAAGGCAAGACTCTTTGGAGCCACGCCCAGCAGGGCTACCTATCTGGGGCCGTTGGAGCTAGCCTGACTGCATGATACCGGTAGGCAGACCTCGCGCCACCTTGAGAGCTCGTTGTTTTTACGAGATTTGGAGATTTGGGGTTTGATAGTCTGGTCGCGCCAGCCCCGAGATGGTTAGAGAGGCACAGCAGAACACCCCAGACGGGCAGAACGGGTTCCTCGGCTCTGTGCTTGGCGGCAAGGGAAATGGGGCCACGGAGGGTCATTGGGTGTGAATATCATGATGGACGCCTGGTGGAATGCCATATCCGTACATTCAGGGGCTTTGTTATTTCTTGACGCATTCTTGGTGTGGTTGCTTTGCTTGGTGTATGACGCGGGGAACATGCCAAAATGAGTGTGTATGGCAAATGAGAAGATGGGAAAATGGATAAGAGATTATTTGGTGTGGGAAAGTTGAAGGATCAAAGACAAGCAGAGACAAGTCGCGGGCCGAATTGACGTCTTGGCGTGTCCGGGGTGCTTAGTCACTGGCGATTTGTACGAGGTGAACATCCTTTGAAGGATGTTTGATCCCTTGCTTCTAGAATTATGGTTCCACAGAATGCTTCATTTCTTGGTATTATGTCTTTGCTGCGTTAGCTTTGCATGGTGAATAAACCTGTCAACTGAAGGGGAAATGGTAACTGGCAAAGATGTGGGAAGTTGAATGATATTGATGCCGATGGGTAAAGGCCCAGATTAATGCCATTCTTCATCACCGCCATGCCGGTAATCGTACCAAGTCGTGATTGTGATTTTGGACGGCTTTCGGCCATCTCTCCAAAGCACTCCAAAGTGACTAGACTACATTGCCTCCCTGTCGCAGTGTCGAGACACAGCCTAGGTATTCTGGCTGGGCATCGCAATATCTCAAGCCTTTTTGACCCCGGAAACGCCTTGTCCTCGCCATCGCCTTATTACAAATCTCAAATCTTGAATCGAAGCCAAAGCCATCTCAAGTGGCTATGGGCGGGCCCAGAGACCCATCCGGCAAAACACGCTGCACGGTATTGTGCTCCGCCTCCTTCCTCAGCTTCCGTTCCGCCGCCGCCTCCTTGATGCGGCGCTCCGCATCCAGCCTCGTGTTCGCGTCCACAGCCAGGAGCTTCATCTGGTACTTCACATCTCTAGTGTGGATTGAGTACCATCCCTGATGAGGCTTGCAACGCTTCTTGTCGCAAAGATTCTTGTCCTCGCCGCTCAGCCGGCTGCCGACGTCGAGGTTGCCCGCCTTGTAGATCTCCTTGGCCTCGTCCGACTTGAGCCAGTTGGCAAAGGGGCCCACGACGCCCACCTGGTCGAGGCGGTAGTCGTAGCCGCATGCCGCGTCTTCGAATTGCTTGGAGGCGATGAGGGCCTTTCGCCGGTCGTTGGACCACTCGAGGATCTGGAGCATCTTTTGGCAGAGGAGGACCTCTTCGCCCAGCTTCTTTCGCTCCGCGGCTGACACTGTAAGAATCTCCTTCTCCTCCTCGGTGAGATACGCTGGTATAAGATTCTTAGTCTTAGATTCAGGGCTTTCAGCTGCATGAAGTAGTTAGTCTAATTGTGCAATCCAGTTGAGCCGTTGAACTGATTTGCGTACCTCCGTTATGCTTTGGAGCAAACGGCTTGGTTCGGACCTTCCATCTGCCATCATCCGAGTCGACACCGGCAAGCGTGCTAGCCAACAGACCCATGGCCTCCTCCTGAGTAAGTCCGTCCTGCGTACCGTTCTTGGATGAGTGCTTCTTCGGCAGGGCCGCGATGCTCTTCTCCCAAAACATGTGCGCATGCTCATCGCTGCAGAAGACGCTGCTGTTCTCCGGCCCATCATAGAGACGCGCAGCCTTTATGCAGTTCCTGTACGAGCACGTCTTCTTGAAGAGGCTGACGTTCTGGTCGCCGTCTGCGCAGTTAGGGCAGACGAAACGCTCAATGAGGTTCTCGCCAACCTCCTTGCTCATGCCGATGCACTCGCCGTGGAACCAGTCGTCGCACATGTCGCAAGAGATCATGAATCGGTGATCGTCTGGACCGCGGCAGATGCAATACGGTCCGTTGTCTGATTCTTCATCGGAACCTCCTGCCAAGTCATCGTGTGGATTGGCGGATGATGTCGTAGACGCTGCGTCGGTCTGCTTCTTGGGCTTGCTTGATTTCGATGGGCCACCCTTGGGTCTTTTCGGCACCTTCTTGACCGCAGCGGTTCCCTTCTTCTTCGGTCCCATCTTTTGAGATTCTGAGGGCTTCTCGGTGCTTTCTAGAATGGTGGAAGGAGAGAAAGCCTCTCTAGTTGGAGGTGGGAGAGAAGAATCGGGTTGTGATGACGGCGCCGTAATGAAATCCGTTTGCTCCTCTTCTATGTTCTGAAGTGCCGTTTGAGATGTGGTGGGAACTTGACCGGGCGCGTCTGCCATGTCGAGATCCTCATCCTCGCCGCCTTTGATCTTTGGCTCCACGTCTGAATCCATGGCTTCCAGCATATATCTTTACAGCAGTGACGACCTGAAAGTGGAACACAGATATTGAGAGCGCAGTGTGAGAACAAAGAGTGAGTTTTAGTGAAAAGAAAAAGGAAAGACAATTTCGTTTGTTACGTGATGCACGGCGCTGAGGTTCACTAGAGTGAAATTACAGAATGAGAGTGAGTGAGAGTGGAAGGTCCAGCATTAAGGAAAGACCCACGGCTATCTCGGTGAGACCGGCTGGCTCTCGGTCTGTTTCGGTGAAAAGAACAATAGGGAAGGAATACCGCATCAATGGTTCTTCCGACCCACAGTATTTTGGCAGGTGGCCCAAGCTCACCGAGAGCTTTTTGGAGTCTTACGATTTTCGAATGACGAAGGCTCTCAAATTTCCCGGTCGGACTGTATCATCTCGTTGATTAAATCTTCAATTACCTCAACCATGTCGCAAGCCACTACGGGGCTTCTGTGGAAGTCTGTCTCCTCCACAATTTCGACACAGTGCCGACGATGCATCTCCCAATCGACGTTTCCTAAGCAGACCCGGCCGACTACCGTTGCGCCGAGCATGCTTCAGACGAGACCTTCCCCGGCGCAAAGGAGGACGAAGACGTTCAAGACCGTAGAGGAGGCAAAGAGCAGATACAGAGCAGGGGTATGGTCTCTATCTAGAGTACTTGGGTGCCGTTGTCATTGAGAGTGGTCATGCTGACTGGGTGTCTGAACCAGCCCTTTTCATGGAAGGCAGGCCTGCTGTTCGTCGGAACCGGTGTTGGTCTGACATGGTACTTTGAGGCCGAGAAGCAGCGCATGGAGCGCAAGCGCATTGCGGAGGCGACTAAGGGCATGGGACGGCCCAAGGTGGGAGGACAGTTCGAGTTGACCGACCAGAACGGCAACAAGTTCACCAGTGAGGATATGAAGGGTCGCTACGCACTGGTTCGTGGAGCCGTACAATATCGCAAGGGAAGAAGAACAAGAAAAAGCTGACAATGTTTGCCACAGGTCTACTTCGGCTTCACGCACTGCCCCGACATCTGCCCCGACGAACTCGACAAGATGGCCCAGATGTACGACCTCGTCGAGAAGCAGCGCCCCGGCTCCGTCCTGCCCCTCTTCATCACCTGCGACCCGGAGCGCGACACTCCCAAGGTGGTCAAGGAGTACCTGTCCGAGTTCCACCCGAAATTCATCGGCCTGACGGGCACCTACGACGAGATCAAGGCCATGTGCAAGCTGTACCGCGTCTATTTCAGCACGCCGCAGCACGTCAAGCCAGGCCAGGACTACTTGGTGGACCACAGCATATACTTTTACCTGATGGACCCCGAGGGCGACTTTGTTGAGGCGCTGGGGCGGCAGCACTCGCCGTCGCAGGCGGCCAAGATTATTCTGGACCATATGAATGATTGGCAGGGAGGGTGGAAGAAGGAGGAGTAGGTTGAGAGAAAGCGAGAAGATTGATGAAAGTGCGTGGTGTACCAACTTGTGTAATATGTACTATCAACTGTTATATGGATAGACCTTTGAGCCATCTTTGCTCCAAGACCACTCAATCACACTGCAATGCCTTGGAATGTTTGCAATCGATGGAACATTATTGCAGCCTTCCTCAATTTAGCCTTGATTCTCAACGAATGGAGGTCGATGTATCTTTGAGACTGTAGTTATGGCAGTGAGTGCACCGTAATTGCATTTCAAGGAAACATTTCTTGTACCTAGTACGGAATCATCAAACTCCCTCCTGAGCCTTCGTAGCTTAGATGCTATCTACCGAAATCCAGACTGTTGTCTTTGGCGACTAACACACATGGATCATGAACTATTAGAAGGAACGCATCTATCTGAATTATACCTTAGGTCTTTGGTATCAGAATGTAGCTCCCTCACCTAATACTGAGGTGGCCGGTTTCAAGGCGTTGCATTGAATGATGGCTCAAGACGCACCCCGCAGACCTGAGGTCGACTCAGCCGCTAAAATTAGCGAGCGAGCGGAGAGCATTGGACGGATGGCAGGGGTAGGTTCCCTGCAGGGGAGAGCTCATTCAGTGTTGACCGTTATCCGTTATCCGTGCCCACGGGCTCAACGTCGACCACACGGGCAACCTCGACTCATCATCACTCTTACACTCAAACAGCACCCATCTTTCCTTTCACGTTCTGTCATGCGGCATATTTGAATTCCAGATTGATTTTTGAAGGGACTTGCATCTTACACATCATGAGACAGGCAGTCAGGACAACGGGCCTCGGTCGGCTCGTTTCGAGGCCACTCACCACTTCACCGACACCTTTCAGGTGCGCAGCTGCCGGTATCGGGCGTCACGAGAGAGAACTTTCCGGGCTGAGGAGGATTACGCTGCCTTTGACGAGTTTACCGGGCGCCACCAAGACTTTTGGTTCGGAACGGTGGTTCAGTAGCAAGAAGCCGGTTTTCGAGGCGGGCGAAGCCCCGTCGTTTGCATTTGCTTTTGAGTGAGTCAAACCCAACAGCGCGAGAAGGCGTAGCTCATTGGGGGGCCCGATGAGGTCCTGGAAGCCATAACCATCACCCATGTTCCACCAGGAACTGTGTAAGAGACGTGACTAACGAGAGAGGGCAGCATCGATGGCGTTCTGTTGCACGTGGCCAAGCCCATTCCCGGGGCCGCCGAGTCGCTGCAGTATCTCAACGACAACAACATCCCGTTCATCCTCCTGACCAACGGCGGAGGCAAGCCCGAGGCCGTCCGGGTGAAGGACCTGAGCGACAAGCTCGGGGTCAAGCTCTCGGTGGACAACTTTGTCCAGTCGCACACTCCCTTTCAAGAGCTGGTGCAGGGGCCGGAGGGACTGGGAGACAAGACCATCTTCCTGACGGGTGCCGATGCGAGGAAGTGCAGAGAGATTGCCAAGCTGTAAGTCAATCACCTTTGAGAGCTCGCATGCTCTCTACGCTTCACACCAACTGACGATCCAACAAGGTACGGCTTCAAGAACGTGGTGACGCCTGCAGACATCATCCACGCCCACCCCGAAGTATTCCCCTTTGAACTCCTCAAAAAGTCGGTCTACGCAGGCTCCCACGAGACCCTACCGAAACCGATCCACGACGGCACCGTAGCAGACGCGGACGCGCTCAAGATCGACGCAATGTTCGTCTTCAACGACCCGCGCGACTGGGCTCTCGATATCCAAATCATCACCGACCTGCTCTTGTCGCGCAACGGTCTGCTGGGAACGTACTCGCCCAAGAACGGCGACGCGTCGCTGCCGAACGGCGGGTGGCAGCAGGACGGGCAGCCCCCGCTCATCTTTTCGAACGCGGACCTGTTCTGGTCGACGACGTACCACCAGCCGCGGTTCGGGCAGGGGGCGTTCCAGGCGGCTGTGGCGGGCGTGTGGAAGGAGGTCACGGCGGGGCAGGCGGAGCTGAAGAGGACTGTGTTTGGGAAGCCGTTTGCGACTACGTATCAGTATGCGGAGCGGGTTCTTGATGCCCATCGAAAGGCGCTGCTTGGTAAGAGTAAGAGTGGTGGTGGTGGTGGAGATGTCGCGCCGTTGAAGACGGTGTACATGGTGGGGGATAACCCGGAGAGCGACATCCGGGGCGCGAATGATTACAGTAACGAGGAGACGGAGTGGGCCTCTGTGCTGGTGAAGACGGGTGTCTGGAGCCAGGAGAGGGGCGCGCCTACGCATAAGCCCAAGATGATTGTGGATGATGTCAAGGCGGCGGTTGAGTGGGCGTTGCAGAGGGAGGGAAGGTCGGCCAAGATCTAGCCATGCGTTGGAGCATGTTGGTACTAGAAGCTTCTCAAGTAGTACGTTGTATTTAGGCAATATAGTCGTAGCTCACCGGTGAATGGCAGAGCGTGTAACTACAAATCCAGCTGGACCGTGTGGTACAAGGTGTGGCTGAGCTCAATCGAGAGACAGAGAGAGAGAGAGAGAGAGAGTATGTGTGTGTGTGTGCCGTGTATGCTAATAAAAGTTCGTGTACCAAGGTCTGTACATGTATTGAAGCAGGATTTTGCAATTTAGACGTCTACACGGTCTGTTCCCAGCGATATAGCGTTGTGTACATTTAAAGAATGAGATTGGACGGTCGATTGAGGCACATGGCAATTACCGACATGGTAATTGGAGAAGAACCCAAATACCATTTTCGCCCAAAGCTGTCAATTGATGTCAACTGCTGTCAATTTTGGGGGTGAACTGTTGGTGTGTCGCCATGTACGTCACATGCAAGACGCGCGCGCCATGCCATGGAAAGCAAGGGTCGGGAGCTCCCGACTGGTACAGTAGGGTCCCCCTGACGTCACATTTAGTCTTGTCTTTTCGGGATGGTTGCGTGGTTGCGTGGCATTGCCATGGAACCGGGCTGACAGAGACTTAAAGGTGCCAAAGTTGACGTTTGGTTAAGGTACTCTAAAGTATGTTTCTGTGGCCTCGTGAGATGTCATGTCGGTGACAGAATCCTTCCCGGGTTTTTTTAGCTGGTGGTGAAGTGATGGAGGAGCGAATTGGTGTTAGTGCGACGATAAGAAGAACCCTTGCTCTGGAATTGTGAAGTTACCTGAAGACAAGGTACCTTGACATGTGAGGTGGGCGGAAGTCGGCGGAATACCAAATTTGTGCGGCTGTCGTCGGGCGCATTTGCGGCACTGCGGGACAATGTACGGTCTAAAGCGCGCTATAAGGAACCTGGGACCAATGATAAGGTACCTTTACGCAGTATATACGCATAACTTACGGAGTACGGAGTACATACTTTTGTAAAGCGGGCAGGGATGACGGCGAAGGGTGCACCTGACCACTTCCAGCTGGAGGTCCACTCACTGCCTGGAGCTCTCCCCAGTGGTCCCCGTCCCCACGGCTCGGTCAACCAAAGCGACCAACGGCCCATAACTGCAACCTCGTCAGAACCTCGCACCACACGACTAGTTGCCCTTTTGCTGTGGCTGTAATTCGCCTACCAACCGCTCAACGTGTTTTGTTATGTCTTTCTTTTCTATTCTTTGGCTATTCATCTGAACACCCTTCTTCTTTGCATCGTCTCCCCGCCCAACTCTGGCCATTCTCGTCTCATACTCTCGTAAATCTTCCTCTTCCAGAACCACTTCGAGAACCCAACCTAACCCAGCCTGCAGCCAGCCCCCCCCGTCACCCCTCACAGTTGGGGTCCATCTTACACTACCAGATACCTTACCTACCTGGTCTGAAGGTGACCCGTGTCGCCTGCGTGCCCCACGATAACCCCCTCCGTGTCTTTTTGCGCCGGGCCCGATAAGAAACCTCTAGCACCCGACTCCGTACTTATCGTGGGATTCCCATTCTCTGAGCCCCTCCCCTCCAGGCTCCCCCATACCCAACCTAAGCTGCAATCGCAAACTGTCACCTCTCACCTCCCCAAAGGAGGATAACCTCGATTTTCTTCACCGACGCACATTGCGAATCCCCTGTCATCTCACGCGAGCAAAATTTCCTCTATCCGTATAGCCGCGAACCTGGCACCTTTACCCGACTTTGTGCGCGCGCGCGAGACTCCCTTCTCTCATAAACTCTGTTGCGCCCGCTTCTTCCTCTGTCTTGCCTGCCAAGATGTCTTCCTCTTCGTCGCCCCAGATCACTGGACAGCAGCAGCCCCTGCGATCAGCCATGAAGACGGATGAAGAGTGCGCGTCCAACACCGCCAAAGGTCAGTTCAAAAAAACGTCTGGCTTCGTCTCATTTTAAACATACCCACGGTCTGCAGGCTCGGCACTCCCATCAAGTGGTATCGTGTCATCTCGACAGTGATGGGAGGATAAGGGGTCGCGCACACGTGGCTGGCAGTCGAGCCGCGATAGTAACTCGTTTCAATGCTCATGCTTGTGCCCATGTCTGCGTGCCTGCCCCGCGTCACCCAGGAACACTTTACTGCTCATCGCAGACACGGCTTGATGGACCGGTATCGTTGCTGGGCTTATGACGTGTAAGAAAAGACACATGATGTACTAACCTTCTCACAGTCGTTCAAATCGCTGAGCCAGAGGCTGACGCTGTCGCCCCGCCTCCACCTGCCCCGCCTTCCGATCATCACCACAAGAGACAGTACGCCGCCAACATGGCCAAGAGGTTGACAGGTCGCATGGGCCTCACCAGCTCCTCATCGTCTCGCTCTTCCCCTGTCATGGAGCCGTCGCCTGGCCCGTCTTCCGACGATGCTACCGCTGCTGCTGCTGCTGCTGCTGCCGCAGCCGCAGCTCAAGCCTCTCATCACCACCATCGCCACGGCCACAAGGCCCACTACGAGAGTCAGAAGCTGCTTGCCCAGCTCAACGACTGGTTAGAGCATGAGAAGAAGAAGAAGGCTGCCCGGAAGAGCAAGACGTCGCCCCGACGCCGCTCACCGCAGTCAAAGACCAAGAAGGAACAATCTCCTGCGGCAGAGACGGCAGACCCGACAGCCCAGCCCG